CAATTCAGCCTAGAGATCCACAAAGGACATCCATTGTTTGGTTCCTTCTTGTAAAATTCATTGTTTTGAACTTTTGATTGAATATTGAATTCAGAAGTGTACTGGTTCTATTGGTAAAGTTATCGGGGTTCTTCGAGTGCATAAAGTTCGTATGGTTGAAGCCTGTGCTGTCATTTCACTTCATTTCTGGGTAAAACAGGATGGACATGTTTTCTTTTGCGAGTCTTGAATGCTTTTGTTTATAATTAAAAAAATTATTACAATAGAGGGAATCGAACCCTTGACCAATCCGAGCAGCGAATTCATTTGGAACACTTCTTGATTGATTGCAAGGGAAATTTTGGGATGCACGTTGAGTTTTAAGGAATAAATACATAACCAAAATGGCCTTGGGCGGTTTTCTTCTTGGGGGTTTGCTTGAAAACATGTGTATATGAATATTGAAACGCTTGCACAGCCAAAACGAAACTATGAAATTTCTTCTTTTCCCTCTTGCTTGTACGGGGTCAACAATTTCGAATATTTATTCAAATGCAAAAACAAAAATAAAATTTCAATTTAAAGAAAAAAAGGCATTATTGAGTGTAACAAATTTTCAAGCTGCATGTAGGAGTTCCAATTTCCAAAATATTATTATCAATTTATCCTCGAGTGTCTCGACCAGAAAGAAGCAAATAAAAGGTTTCTGGTTCCGAAAGCAGCAAAGCAACAATTGAAGTGGAATGACCGAAAAAAAAAAAAAGGCAGTGAAAAGAAAAAAAAAAAGGTCCCACCGAGATTTGAACTCGGGTTACTGGATTCAGAGTCCAATGTCCTAACCACTAGACCATGGGACCGATGCGTTCAATCTTTACATCATTCGATATTTGTTTAACTACTGCGATGAAGGTCCCACAGTTTGCAATAAGATACTCATCTATAGTCTATAGACTCTATACCAACTTATTGCACCAAAGGAAAATTCTTCGGCAAGTCCATACAATAACCCTGACAAATAAGCCTTTGTTTTTTTTGGAACTCCTTTCTTCATTTTAGGTTATTGTGAGCCTTTTTTATGTGAAATTACGATGACACCCCTTTTCATCTGGAATATATAGGTATACGATCAGAACCGCCTCATAACCCACACCAGCAAAATTGCCTCATTCACCCACCGACTAGCTCCAACCCAGATGGCTCGACCGAAATTGACCACACTCCAAACCAACGAAATTGCCTCCTTCACCCACTGGTCAGCTTCAACCTAGATGGCTCGACCCAAATTGACCACACCCCAACTTCCATGGTTGATTGGCAAAAGGTCTCGATGTAGGATTTTATCACCAAATGTCTCGATGTTATTAGTAGTGAAATTAGTCATTTATATATTGTATTGTATTTTATTTTGTTAAACCTCCAACGTGGGATTTCATGTTCTTGAACATTCACTAAATTCATTAAGATTGTGACAAATAGCTCTTACATATTGAATATTCGACGTGCAAGAAATGAAACTGAATAAGATATATAAGTGGAATTTCCAACCCACATGGTTAGGGGTGAGCATCAATCCGGCCAAACCAGCTAAATTGGCATATCTGAATTGTAATGATCAGTTTTGTTTGGTTTTGACTAAGAAAAACATCAAAAAATTTAAAAACCGAACCAGATCATAATGGTTTGGTTTAGTTTGGTTTAGAACTTTTACAAACTGGCCTAAACCAAACCTGGCTGTCTACTTGTATATTTTTTATATTTACATTTATTTTATTTTATTTTATTCTACACATGTAGTCCTCTCATTGTAATAACTAGATATGGATGTTGAATTAGAAGTTTGATGGAACTTTCGAGTTATTAATATTTGAGTTGTAAGTTGTAACTATACTAGTTATTGAGCTTTGAAGTTTTATGGCATGTTGAATTTTTGGATAGTTTGATATGCTAGAAAATGAAAAGAAAAATATGTAGCAATGTATGAATTTTTGTTGTTGTAATTGGGCTACCAATGTTGAAAAAATGCAAAAGAAAAAAAAATTGGGCTTAGAGAGAAAACGACTAAACTAAAATGAATCAAATCGTCTTAAATTGGTTTGATTTGGTTCGGTTTCCTTGATTTTTGTCATAACTGAACCAAATTAAACTGTTCTATTGTCATTGATTCGACCGAAATTTTGAAGTAATACCGATCCAATCCAAACCGTATCCACTCCTACACATGGTATAGTCAATTAAATTTGAGGAGCTATATAGATTTTAACTTTTCCAACTCATGGCATCTTAAGTAATTAATTTTGCTATTTGGTAATCGGTGACCAGAGAACAAATTTGTTATGTGATAGTTGTGTAAGCAAACAGTATTAAATTTATAAATTTTTTGAAAAAAAGGTTATGCAACTCAATAATTTTACTTACTTGACTTGAGATGTGCAACAATTTTACCATTATTAAATGAAAAGGAAATATAAGGTAAACATGAACTATAAAATGATGTGTGAGAGACAGAGCTATGGAAAATCAGAGACCCCAGAAAGTAATACGTAATCTCATCCAAAATTGTTCCCAACTAACTCATTTCCCATTCTGTTTCCCTGTCATTTGCTCTGCGATGGTGACCAGACAACAGAAGTCAGTAATCTACTTTTAATCAACTTGAGTTGACCAATCATAAATATTCTATATCATACTTATTAACTAAAAGGATTCTAGAAAATATAAAGAAGATGCCAATCGCAGATCTGTTTTACAATTTTCTAATTTCTTTTGTTTGTAATTATATCCATAGTTAGCAAAACTTTACCAAATAGGACGAAATTTTTTTGTAATGTGTTCAGGGTCCAAGTGGTATGTCTAGCCACCCAACCTTCAACTAACATATTATTATCTTCAACTTATAATCATTCTTGAAAATCCAAATACGGAGTGTTAATAACAGTTCTCTTAATTTAATATTCTTACTGTGTGTCGACTTAGGTTTTTTCAATCCAAAATTCATAATTTAATCAATCAAATCAGGATAGTTAATTGCACCGTCAACAATTCCTCATCAAGCATCCACTTCAGTAGAAAAACTTGTGTGAACACAAATAGTCACGTAGAAAAGTTATCATGCGTAGAATGTCGTAATTGGTCGAAAATAGTAAAATAATGCTATCCTCATTTCAAACAAGTGTTTCTCCCACTTCAAAATGGAGTTCATACACCAAATCTCTCACTTTTTTTTTTTTTTCATTTTTCATTTTGCCATGAAACAAATAATTCCCCATGAAATGGAACAGTCCAAAAGGGTGAGCGTATGCAATTGCAAACGGAGGATGGATAGGGGAGCATTAAAGTTATGGTCCCAGAAACCAACTAACAAAAAAAAAAAAAAAAAAAGGCAAAAAAGATGGTGGCTTTGGCATTGAAGTTTAATGAAGGAAAGAGGCTGCCCAAAAATAATTGGGCAACACACATGGCATTATTTATGCTTTGTAGAGAGGACAAGAGCCCACGATGGACACATGCTGCAATTAAGATGTTTGAGAAATTGACAATACTTTATACGGAGTCGGTATATTAATTATGTACCTCATCTAAATTATCTAACGTAATGTGTACTTTTCAAATCAAATCAAATCAAATTAGCATTCAGCGTCATAATCTGATATCACATTAAAATGTAAGACATCGAATTCAAAAGTACTTAATAGTGCTTCCGTTCTCTAATATAAGATTCTCGACAAATCTAATTCATTCCGTTAAGTAAAATGTGATATAAATTTATACTTCATCGTAATTAATAACATTAACACCAGAGGAGGAGGAGGTGTCTTTGCTATATTTATGGTATTCACGAGATTATTGAGTGAAATTTGACGAACTCGTAGACGGATGTGTAGTTTTGAGAAGAAGATGTTGGATGAAATTGGATTTAATTCCCAAACCAAACTCATTCCCTCCCAACAACATTGCATTACATTGCATGCTTGAATGCTTCACTTTCATTATCAAAGAGATCCATGATACGATTGAGACTTCACAACAGCCCCCCAAACCCTACATCACCACCCACAACCTCCACAACACATTTGCATTGCATCCCACCAAAAATATCACTATCTTTTTCACTTCCATGACCTCTCAAAAGCTGATTGGTCTTACTTAGGAACTGTAGAGGAGAAAATTAGGTGCATGTGGAGACTGAATCTGACTCGTTGCAGATGATTCAGATGATTAGAGGTGAGCGTCAAGTTGATGTTGCGGTGAAAGCTATTGTGTTTGATATTAAGATGCTTGCTGGCAAGCTCCAACAGGTTGTTTTTTTAGCTACTCCCCATCAGTGCAATAAGGCAGTGCATGAGGTTGCGCCCTTTGTGTCTAGAGTAGGTGGTAACCACGTTTGGGACCAAGTGTGGCCTGAGTGAATTTTTGATATTTTAGCTAGCGATGTAAACCTTGCTATTCGTCTCTAATAAAACTCTTTTTGTTTGGAAAAAAAAAAAATCAAACTAATTTCCAAATTCAAGCTAAACACCACCACTAAAACTTTTTGAAACCCACAAAAGTCCACCTCTCATTATTATTAAATCTAATCTAAACAGATGTTTATTTGCCACAATAAAAGCAAAACCCTATCTTAAACTTATTGGCTATAACAAAACAAAACAAAGAAAACCCCTCTTTTCACCATGCTCGCATGGCAACTACAACATCATTAGCCTCACCAAAATTATGAAGAATCTACTTGTTGGATTGGCTGGTCTCCAATTATTTATATATATTTTTTCAAATAGATACTACATAGGGATTTATAGTCATTCCAAATATATGTCAGAACTTTAGAATCTGGTTCAAATGACCTTGAATTTAAAAATAAGATTTGGCATCAACCGGATCTAACCCAATGAAAAAGGACATTGACTTGCAAAACATCGGTCTCATGTTCGAATCCCCACTGCATTATAGTTGTGTGAGAAATTACTCATTTGATGTTAATTTTAATTTTATTAAAATTTATACAAATCATCCACCAAACTCAGTACAATCTAATTCAAAAAAAAAACTTAAAAACCCATTGAGTCAGTCACCCATAGAGCATATATAGATCAACAGAATATCATGATATAAAACTAGATTATTACATTTATATTTGAAACTTCCACCAAACCATCTCTCCATCTGGGTCGGCTTTGCCTCTCCAGATACATATATTTTATACATCTATAGATTACTTCAAACACAAAAAAAACTACTTAGAAATAGAACCCATTAATTTTTATTTTTTTTTGGTTTAATTAATATAATTACTCATAAGTCTTAAAAGTTGTTATGTATTCATATCATGCTATTGGACTGACTATTTTTTCTGTGTATATGGACCGGGTCCGGCCTCCACATCAGCATCTCCAGTCAAGCCGGACCTCGCCCGGTCCGACTACGTGCTGACTGGGCTTACGAAACGACACGATGTGGCTACTCACCATAAACGCCGTGACCCGCTCCGAGACGCGAATGTCCTCCATCTTCAGCTCCTGGAGCCTCCTCACGTACTCTGGCACGTGCAGTAGGTCCCACACCACCCCGACCCCACCGGGCTTCAAAACCCTCACCATCTCACCGACCACCCTCATCCGCTCTGCCGACGCCTCCACCGTCCGATGGCCGTACTCCTTCCCAACGGTGTGCACGAACACAGCCGATACCACCACGTCGAAGTACCCGTCCCCGAACGGCAATCTCCTGGGGTCGCCCTCACGGCAAGTCACGTACTCTCCGACCCCTTCGATCTTGGCCGTCCGTAAGGTCGACGAAAGACTCGTCATCTTGGACCGGTCCAGGCCCACGACCCGACCCGAACTACCTTCTTTTTTCATCTGGGTCGCCACCGCGTTTAACAGTATGCCGCGGCCGCAGCCGAGGTCGAGGGCGTGCTTGACCGTTGACCAGTCGTTGACCGAGTTGACCATGCGCTGGACGACGTCGTAGTGGAGGGGGAGGGAGGAGTGGAGGAAGTGAGCGGAGGCGAAGAAGAGGCAGAGGGCGGAGAGGGCCGTGACGGAGCCGGTGAAGCCGGCGGCAAACCGGGCCGAGCCGATTGGGAGGAGTCGGTGGAAGAAGAGAGTGATGAGGTCGAAGTAAGTGAGGTAGAGGAGGGACAAAATGGTAAATAGCACAGCGTGGAAGAGAAGGAAGAGAATGGTCTGCCACTGGTCCAGGCCATAGATGGCGTAGATCTGGGTCCAGTCTCTGCTGCCTGGAGCCGCACCTGCTGATTTCCCCATTTTTCTCTCTCTGAACATGCTTTGAAAAGGCTTCAAATCTGTGAGAGAACTTCAACAGAACTTCAGAAATTGCAGTAGCTTTCGCGTTTGGTTGCTGAGGAAGTAGTAAATCAAAGAAGGGAAAAACCGAGTAGTCTGAAGTATTGAAAGTTTTGCTATCTCTTTAGCGGGTTGTTCTCAGCTTTCTCACAAACCAAATAATGGAGCTACCCAAGAGTAGCACAGAGAGATTTGGGTGGTGGTGCAAACTTACAGTGACGAAGGTTATCCTCTTCTACACAAAAGCTTCTGCTCAAAATTGCTAGATCGACTGGGCGCAAAGAGATTTTGCGACGATCCCAACACGGAAACTAAAAGGGCTGAGACTTGAGAGAGGAAGAAACAGTGAAGAAAATTAAAGAAGGAAGACGTCATTCATAGCTGTAAATCTGGGGAGTGTGAGAGAGGTGTAGTTGGAGAAAGAACAAAGAGGATCATAATGAGGATGACGGTTGTAACGCGCTTTGATTCGTCAGGCTTCTGCTGTCTGTGTTTTTCAAATTTTAAAGAAGGAAAAGTTAGAAATTGGGTTTGGGAGAGCTGAGCTTAGCTTTACTGAAAATTCCTAGTCTCTCTCTCAGAGTTGAGTGGGTGTGGGTGTGGATGTGGAACTTGTACGGATATTTAAAAAGCGAGATAGCGAGAGAGGAAGAGATGCAAGGTGACGAATTTGGGCTAATAATAAAAGTGGGAGGAAAGAAAGTAGATATAGGATAATTTGTTGCCGGGAAACCGGCTCACCAGGTTACTTGACGAATTTGGGCTAATAACAAATCTAAACGTTGCTTGTTTTTTTGTTTTCATAAATAGGATCTTCTATTCTACTAATGTTTTTTGGTTTTGGTTTTGATATTGTGCTTATAAATCAAAACTACGCCGGTCTCTACTTTTTTGGTTGTGTTTTCGTTTTTACTAATCGACATTTAAACGTTATTATAAGCAAATGGATGACACTTTTTCTAGCGTAGCTCATAATCAGTTATCATCCGAGAGACTCGTTTCCTAGTAATCAGTTATCTCGTAGGAAATTATTTCACTTTATTTTGACGAATATCAATTTGCCATTATAAAATAAGAAATTACTACTTCACTTCATTTCATGCTTAGCTCGACTTATGTTAAAACTTGTCACCTCACCCCTATAATTACTAGCTCTATTTTAACAATGATGGCTTTTATCTACACTGATGAGCCATCGACATGCCTAAGGAAATATGCTCTTTGGTAATTGAATCCGGCAAATTGTTTCTTTCAACTCCGGCAACCGAATTGAATTTGTCTTTCTTTTTCTTTGGTGCAAAACAAACGGCAACTGATTGGAACCGTTGATTAAATTTGTACATTGTATTCCTTGGACCGACGGAGCCAAATCCAATGATGCCTAATGTCTAATTGAATGAAATTGGGGGCCAAAGTGTGCGTCCTATTTAACATAAAAGAATTTCTCTGCCGTTAAAAGTTGGGCAAATTTGATAGTTACTTAATTAGGGATCCGCAAATCATGGGAATGGAATATCTTGACCGTACGTCTGGAGGTCTCATGGAGATTGATGTAAATTGAAGGCGGCTTTATTCATTAGAAAATTGACCAAAAACTCACTTCACACCAGCCAGCCATGCTCACACCACCAATAACACCTTGCCGCTTTCTGTCCCTTCCCTAGATAGCAGCAGGCCAGGCCACAGCGTAAAGTCTTATGCCTTGTTCATATTTACTCTATTCGTCACTGCATGGTGGACGCTGTCACGTTGGACCCTTTTTTGGGTTTTTTTTATCTTGTAAGTAGGAGCTCGAAGTTCGGAGCTCGAACATTCCTGTCAATAGCAGTGTGATATGTGTGTATAAGTATTTCTTCTTATGTTTTTGATTAATTATTTTTGCATATATGTCAAACTGTGATTCGTAAAAAGGAAGAGTATACCTTTATATATAATGAGACAAACAGTATCCTTCCTCAATCCCTTTGCCTTCAAACCTGCTTTTCTTTTTTAATATTCAGAAAAAAGAAAACCTTGGCTTTCTATGGAGGAATCATTCTTCCTTAACTCACAATTCACACCTTAATGCATATTCATTTTCGTGTTGATATATATATCTATGTATCGGTGTGATTAGACAGCGCATCTTCTAGCTAAGCATGCTCCCTAATGTGTTATTGTACACTCTTTTTTTCATAAAGAACTTACCAATAACATTTCTACGTGAGTTATTTGCAGAACAATAAAGTGAAATAATGTGTTAGGATTGGAGAGTATTGTTTACATAACGAATATCGATACTCTTATCGAATAATGTACGAGTATCGATACTCTTATCGATTCGAGATTGAGATACAAACACATTTAGTTTTGGTGATCTAATTTGTTACACAAATTGGGGGGAAGGACACAATTGTCAAAAGATGGCACCACTTCCACTCATACTATCGTCATTTTGCATCAAAGACAGTCCTTATGAAGCTTGAAGACAAATTGTAAAAAGTCATTGCAAATAGTTGAAAAAACAATACAAAAGAAGAAAGTCATTGCAAATTAAATACAAGTGGGTCCCATTTGCATCTCCCCTCTTTATCTTTGAGAAAAGTGGTTGGCCCCTCCAAACGCTGGGAACGCGGGAATGACAGAAAGCGACTGCGTCGTAGGCACTGTAATATGTAAGGAAGGCACGAACTGAGTCAGACCGCTAACGAATTGGACTAAATTCTAAATTTTATTGTTGCGATGGCATTTGCCAAATTTTGGCACCGACTCAAACTTCTTCTAAAACAATCTAAAAAATAAAAAGTAAAATACTATTTTCATACAACAACTTAGAACATGATAATTGTCTTATCAAAATACTATGGTAAGTGTCTTATCACGTCGAATTTTAGTCAATTTTGGTGCGTAACAAAACACATTACGGATTAATTGATAGTAATGTTTATTTGCCAAATATGTTAAGTGATAATACTTTGCTATTATGCAATACACATAGAAGTTTTATTGAGCGCGAATTTTGGGCCATTTGATTTTAAACATACAATTTAGTTGACGAAATATTACATCTAGGGAACACATTTTTACCATCGAGAAAGTCTTGTGTATTGTTGTCGTATGCAGTAGCTCTCTCATAGTAAGGTGAGACTTAACGTAAATCCCATATGCAAGAGACACTCAAATGTAATAGAGCTAGTCTCACAATACACACGTACAAACATCACCTTATCGTGAGAAAGTTACCGCATAGTACAATCTCACTCAAGAATTTCTCTCACCCATCTCAACTAGCTCAATTCCACAATTCCATACTTAAGGGAAATGGGGCACTCTTAAAAATAATGGAGGTTGGAAGGGACCAATAGCTCTTTAACACACAAAGGTCAAGTAATAATACTACTAATAATATTACCAATGTAACATAACCAGGTGGCCAAAGCTCAGTAGGGAGTGAAGTAATAATAATACTAATCATAATTAATGGAAAATAACATGGGATATTTATTACAAATCATGTGCAATTCCTATCATAAACATGGTGGAGTTTCTTTGATGCCACGGATGTCTATACTATATATTTAATTAATTATTCTATCGATTAATCTGTAAGATAATTATGTTTTATATTAAATATGTCTCTAATCTCTTTAAAGGAAAAACTTTAATAATTTATTTTTACATGATCGTATTCAACGGTTGCGATTGCTTCATTCTAAAACAAATGGTTGATGATCGAGTTTGAGATTTAAATTAATTAAAATTTCATATGGAGGAGTTGAGATTGGCCTTCTAATCCGCCAACCCACATGAGAGAGTTAAGCCCTTTCCTAGATGGGGGACACATGACATCTCCCAAATCCATGAAGATTACATAAAAAAAACCATAGTTTGTATTTTTTTTTTCCTTGGTTTGAAAACCATAGTATATATTCTAAAGCGTGAAGCACCAGATAGAATAAAATTCTCTTGACGCGTTTTAGTACTTATAATTTATGCGTAATTAATTAATTACTTTTATTTTAGAGATTAATTAAAGTCTACAGATCTTCAATAGTTCAAACTATAGTAATATTATACTCTCTCTCTCTCCCCCTTTCTCTCTCTGCCGTCTTTCCATAACTGTTTTTTTTTTTGGTGTCACTGTGTTGTTGTGCATGGTAAAGTCGTAAACAACTAGACATTTTGAAGATTTTAGCTTAAAGAAACTAGACATGGTTTGGAGATTAGAGATTCCGTCGTCTTCTTTTTTCCGTGTTGGAAGGGGCTTCATTGGAACAAGTCCATAGTTTTATGATCTGTTCAATCAATCAATGTTTTTGTAATAAAATTATACATTATCTTGATTTTTCAATCAAATAATGGAATTAGGCCACAAATTGTTCTAGAACTCAAATATCTTTTCATTTCTGAAAAATAGTTGGATTAATCAATTTTTTCTGTGCTCTAGCCTCTCGTCGTTTGTGAAGAGGAATGGAAAGTGACTGATCACGCGCCTAGCGATGAGATTATGGTTAATGAAGTTTGTTATTTATGTCATGACTATGAAAAGGTTGTTTGTATGTTTAAATCTCGTATCTGTAACTGTGCAACGCACACTCTAAGTAAATTTGTTTTCAGTGAATAAATGATTTGTTCCACCAAATCGTACTTTGCTCAGTGCAACCAATAGTCAAACGTAATTTAAAACTAATTGATGGGAAAAATTAGACAACGATTTATTTATTTCGTTATTATTATTAAGAGAGTCCGCAATGGAAGAATACGATATTGTACTTTTGTTCAACTCTCTCCTTTAAGAGATGAAGATGATGACGAGGCTCTTAGTGTGATTTTTGTCCACAGCCAAACCAATAGTCAAAAACCCTAAACTAGTGAGAGGAAATGTAGACTACGATTGACATGTTCTAGCTTTTTTGTTTTTGTTTTGTTTTTAAGAGCTATGACTACGAGTAGCTACCTAACCCATTTAGACTAATGAGATCAGACCTAACATTGACTTGTGTGAATTATTTTCTTAATTTTATCCCAGTTTTCAAATTTCAAATTGAAGTTTTGTATTAATTTAATCTGTGAACGAATTTGTCAACAAACAATATGTATTATTTGAACATATGAAGGTAAAGAAATACTAAAAATATATTAATGAAGATATGCTATATGCACCCCCACTTTTGAACATGGTTTGAAGATCATATTAATCATTAAGGCATTTAATTGAGATTAACAAAATAGACGAACACGATACTTCAAGAAAAGACTATAATAACAATCATATAATTAATTGGTCAAATGATTTCGAATTTAAATGGTTTTTTGCAAAGATAATCTTTGAGTAAATATCTAAAGATTAGACGGTTCGGATCATTATAAAACAATGTGTGGCAGCAAAGTCAATTCGTGTATTTGGAATGGAAAGGTCAATTCCCGCAAAAAGGCATCCATGGAGTTTGAGTGTGCCTTCCAGCTGCACTTGAAGCCTGCAGCCCACTGGTAATATAAATAATTTTCATATTTGTGTAGGTCTCTTTCTTCCCTCTTTCTATGGTTAAAGTAGGAACTTTCCCTTTGTTTTTTTCTGCTAGGTAAAAAATAACTGTTATTTTTTTCTTTCTTCAGTTTGAATTTTTTGATGACAGAGAATCAGTCAGAAATTATACGTGTCATCTATCTTAGTAAGTGTCTTTATTTGTTTGTTTTGAAATTCATGAGATTTAGAGTTCAAACTTATGATATTTGAGTTATACTTCATTCCATGCTCACCCTTAGATTTCTTAGGGTCAGATTCTCACCATTAGATTAGTTA